ATTTATGAAATTCACCCTGCTGGTTTTGAATGAGTACACTGCAAACAATGCATGAATGACTATAGGAAGGTACATTTGGTGTTTGCACTCATTCGACACGGCATAGTAAACTTTGGAGCAGAGAGAAAACGAGTAGACTTTTACTAACACAAAAACATCATCTACACAGTATGTTGGTTCCATTGGTGACCAAGCTGTCATTTTTGTTACACTTTCATCTAGAAATATGCAAATATCAAATGTATTTCAGGATTAAAAAAAATACGTAACAAACCCCTTCTGTAATGAGCCTGACATACAGTATGTTCCTTATGTGCAATTTTTATCTAAAGATCTGAAATGTGGGACGTACTTGCTTCACACACATTTTTACGATTTGGCTTTTCAAAGGAAATTTGAGACTGCAAGACAGCAAATTTGTACTAGAATTCTCACAAAATTCTAATCTGATTTTGCTCCTGCTGAGACAAATGGCAAGATGCCTTTCAAAGATGATGGGAGTAAGCCCAATGTCTGGTAAAAAGGATTCCAAAATATAATTTCCTGTATAAAACAAGCTTTTATCAAAACAGTTTTTATAAATGTTTTTCAACAAAAATGCACGTAATCCCATAAATATATTCCAGTATGAAAAAAGTAAGTTAAGGGGTCCGGGTCAAAACTGCAGAGCCAAGATACTGAAAATACTGGTTGGCACTCCCCTATTTAGAACTACTTCTACACATGCTATATAATAAACTCTTCTACTGCGTTGTGATTTACTATAGTTAAACAGGGGAAGTTAAAGTCACATTCCTTCATTTTTTTTAATCCTAAAATCCCTTGTTTTTCTAAATAGACTGTTCATGTTATCTTAGGCAATTTTTGTGCTATTGTACATCACTGTCATGTTGCTTAACACACATTTCAAAACAAATACAATATTTTGCTACGGAAAAAAAAGCTACATTTTTGTAGCTAAAATATCCCCAATATTCAAAGTTATGGCGTTCAACACCTTTCCGAACCAGGCCATTCCCGCTGAAAGGACCAAGTCCAGTATTAACAACTTGCTCCACCTACACAGATGCTCAAGGTCCCCTGGCTCCTTGCTGACTTCAGTGGGGTTCTGCAAGTAGTTTGGGTATAGACATGTGAGCAGGTTACTGCCTCGTAAGCCGAGGGATAAACTCAATTTCTGTTGCTGCTCTGTGTCCAGTTAGTCCTCTCTTATCCCACATTCAGCATCAGGCACAATGAGGTACGAGCACACAACCTCTTACCAGGAAGCAGCCCGTGCCCACAGCCTAGCTTCCATTACAGTAGCTTTTGTGTCCATTGCCCAAGCTGCTATCAGGACTTTCACCCCAATTTTGACCTAAGTCTATAGAAAGGTGAATGCACTTGCATCCCTTAACACCTCTTAATCTTAAAAACTCTTTGGGCTGAGACTTCAGAAGCCTAGACTTTAAACAGACCCTCATTTTTGCAGACATATGTAATAAATGGCTTTCTAATAAATCTAGTTTCCAAATTTTGCTTCTGTTCATTGCCCATACGGGTGACTGATTGCTAAAATGGATCTCTCAGCAAATAAAAAGGGACCTGCAGGAATAAATGGTATTCATTCTGCACCCGCTCCCAATGTTGGGTAGTAATCACTGGGTTGCTGGTTCTTAGATTCTTTTTAAGTATGCATATTAGTTGTGCAAATTTGTACCCAAGTTATGATTAAGGTGGAAGTACTTTATAATTGTGAAATAAGCTTAAAAATATGTAGTAAAGAACAAGCTGATCCTTAAAGGGTAATAGAATAATTCATAAAAATGCCAAATTAAATCCGTAGGGTTCTATTGCGTAGAATACTTCCAAATACTGCCTGAAGTTTTCTCAATAGTGATAATAAAACCTCTCCATACTCCTCAGATTTTTCGTTTCTTAACTATATTGAATAGCACACATATTTTTCAAATTTTTTAAAAAGATATTGAGCTTTCCATGTTTCATTAGGTGTTTTGAATTTCTGATTAAACTTAACCAATACCAATCAATATTTCTAGGTCCCTTTGTTTTAAATGTAGATCCTTCATTTTACATGATCAGAAATCTTCTGAAAAAAACGCCAGATCCCCTTGTGATATGTTATTTCACAGTTTAAAAACAAAATCACAGCTACTGTAGCTTACAGCAGGGTGCACTGCAAAAGCAAAATAATTTGGGGATGGGAGGAGGAGTGGTGTACCCAGCACCAGTTAAGCAGTTCAGCAAAAACTTTAATTTGGGCTGGAAGTTTTTCCCCTTAACATTGTTGTATTTGGTTCCTGAACAGCCTAAAGTAGGATGTTAAATACATTGACTTTTGTTCTCCCTCTATATATAGTATATTTTCAACTTCATTGTTTGAATACTGAGATACACATTTTTAAAGTCAAATACAGTACTTAAAGGGGAAGCAGGTAGTAGGCTTTTTCACAATAAAAATACTTTGTTAGAGATTCTGACCTACTTCTGTTTGTGGTGCCACCTGAGTTAATTGCCTGTATTATTTTGATGGTTAACCTCTTCAAGTTGGATGTTTTTCACAGATGACTACATCAGGACTCTTCATCATCTCAAGAGCCCTTTTCTTGACAGGTATTTATTTTTATCCACATTAAGTTTGCAGAAGTCTTTTAAAAGCCCCACCTTGAAAAACCTCTTGAACATAGAAAGGTGGATAAGTTCTTTAATTCATTTCCACAGATTAAAGGTTTCTTTCAAAACCCCATCTGTTTTTTACTTAAGAAAATGGAAAAACTTCTAATGTATTAAAAATGTAAACATAACTTTTCTTGCAGGGGTATAACTGATATATATATATATATATGTATTTCTCTGCTATATGTTAATATTCCTTGAAAACTGAACATACTTTTCTCATTCATGTCAACGTGTCCTAGCAAGTTTTATTTTAATGGTACTGTAGCATTACTTTTAAGCTATTTTTCATTCTGGTATTTTTGGAGATAGCTGGCATTAGTACTTTCTATTGCATTTTATTTAATTCATTTTACATAAATTTTTGCTACCTTTTAAAATATGTTCAACTCATTCACCACTAATATTCCCACTGAAGTCTATTATCACCTACACTCCAAATTTTCAGGAGTTAAGAAACGCTTATGTTTTCATGAATGAGTTAGTTTTTCAAAAATTAAAGTATCTGTGCATGAGTCACCAGTTCCACACATTTCAATAGTAACAAAAGTAATGCCAATTTAAATGCTTAAAATCCAGTTACAGATTTGGTTTAGAAGCAGCTGAAGTGCTTCAAAATCACATAAGGTGTGTGGGTGTATGTGTGTATGTTCTGTAGTTTTGTTTCTATAGTGTTTACATCCTATTGAAGTTTATATAATGATACTTCAGTTCAAAACATTTGGCACCATCTCATCCATTTTCTTGCATCTTTCTCAGTATCTGTCGAAAGAAAAAATACACGTTATGCAGATGACCAAGCAGATACAAGAAGAGTATCTGCTAAATACCCTTTTGTCAGCTTGAAGGCGCAGGTCAACAAACAATAACAGCAATTTTGTTTCCTTGCCCTGCATGAATATATTTACTTGATAACATTTACAGAGATAAGATGTGGGGAGACCAGAAGTTAAAGGCATGAAGCATCGATTTCCCTTCTACATGGATCTGAGCAGAAACAGTGTTCCTAGAAGTACCAATTAGTCCTGTTACAGAGAAATGCTTTAAAAGCTCCTGCCACAGCTCCACCAAAAATAATCACTCATGACCCACAGGACACCTGTTCTTTTTTCCCTCAGTTTTCTCCAAGTCTGACCACCACACAGCAAGAACAAAGAGGATTTGCTGAAGCCATTTAACTTGTCACGTTTATGACCCAAAGTGTGATTATAAATGCAGATCTCCACAATGGTGTGAAAAAATATTTCTTATTTTAGCCTCATTTAACTAGTGGTTTCCTAATGTGAAGTAAGGAATGAATATTTTAAAGGCTAATTAAGCAATAATCACATTAATTCGGTATGTTTGTTACACTGATGCTGTTATAGCACACTGTACTCGTCACTTATTTTACTTTTTCATTTACTGCTCTGGAATTTATCTCACATGAATCTCTATACAATGTTAATACTCATTCCTTATGCAATACAATGAAACCACTTGATAAGTATTTTGTATGAGCAACTAACATATCCTGAGAACTGCTTACCTCTGTGTTACAGAAGACTGACTGCTTTGTGTGTGTGTCTTTCATAGATACTAAGGTACAGTAGATCTACCATAAGAATATTAATTAAATGAATTTGCCTTTTTGGAGGAAAGAAAAAAGACATAATTGTAGCATTGTTTAAACTTCTAAAGAACTAAACTGTAAATGGAGTGTGTCTGGAAGAACTGTTTCAGGGAGGATGGCTGCAGTGTCAGCAGCACCAAAGTGACATACATGTGTGAGATTTTGCAGAATGTCTTAAGAGCTCTGTAACTGTTCAACAGTTTTGTGTGGATGCTATAAATAGGTATTGAATGAGCACAGAAAGGTTTTAGTGCAAATACAAAGAAGGTGTGAGCCAGAGGTAGTTATCTAGCAGCCCAGACAGTAGCAGCAATTTTGAAAGTGCTATATATCCTGATGGCACGATTGCAAGAGCAAAATTCTCACTTCTGATTGTTTTTCAAGACTAAATAATTTTTAAAAATCAGTGCTAGCCTTATGGAAATAGTTTAATTATCAGAGGTCAGGATTTGAAAGCTATGCAGTTATCAACAGCGAAGCAACTGTTCCCATGATTCCTGCCAAACAAGACCTTTGAAAAGTACCATCTGAATTTTGAATTAACAAACTAGATCCTGAAACCCAAGAAACAACATACTGAAGAAATTGTTTTCACTAGAGTTAATGGTGGGAGTTATTTTTTCAGTATAAAGTAAATCTCTAAGCTTCATAAATCTGTTTGTCAACTTTAATGCTATGAATATGAAACAGTTGCAAAGACAAAAGAATGTACTTACGGTGAAATTGTACAGCCAGAGGCATATGCATGGTGGCCTGTATAGCGTATATCGCAGCGTACTATATTGTTGGAGTAATCAGATTCAGGCACCAAATAGCTGGGGTTTACACTCACCTTAAGGGGAGAAAGCACAGTGTTGTCTACTTCTAGGTTTGAGTTGATAACTTACATTCAAAAGCACATATACATATGATTTGCTTCTTTAAAAAGACAACAAAAACAAACCCCAAACCTCCCCACTCCCAATACCCTTACCTTCAGAATGTAATTTCCAGGTTTTACATCTGTAATATCAATCCATTGGCAATCTATATCAGCATTGTAAGTGTCGTAGCAGCCAGGGCTCAGTCCCTTAAAAAATGAAGTTAAGATGGATGTCAAAAAATCACTGGGAATACTAACATTCTAGACATTAGGGACACTCAGACTGAAGTTTGTTTAACCATCACATTTCACTAAGAAAATTACCTCAGGATATGAGGCTTAATTTTTGTGGGCATTTTATTTGAATATCTAAACTAGAACACGTAAGTCAAACATACCACATTTATAGACAACATGGTGCTACTACTGCATAAGAAACACCTACACTATTGGTAGTTGTTCATCTTTGCGATATCTGTATTTTATTATCACTTGTTACAGTAGTCCTTTTATGTAAATATTGTTGATGCTATTACTCACTATTCTTTACAAAAGGTGAGAATAAAATCAAAACTGACCAAAGACTGGACCTAAATATCTGTAAATGTCAAGTGAATAGCTTGAGGTCCTTGAGTACAAACTTGATCACTGTGTTGGAACCTGTCTCTACCCTTAGGAATGATGCAACTTTTTTGCTATAGATGTACTCTGCCAAAGCGCCATCTTTGAATAGCAGAGTCTAGGGCCATTTTCACATTGTGTTTTGCGTGGAAATGGCGTCTCTTCAGGCAAATAGTGATGCAAGAATCTGAGAGAACTGAAAATGCAGCCTTTCTTCCAGATGATTTTTTTCTGAAAACTTCCTTGCTGTTAGGAACATTAGTAAGAATCTCCATATATGAATGTATCAGTGGTTCAAATCTGGTGTCTTTAACCGTGGCCGATACAGATTGCTCTCGGCAAAGCTGATGTGCTCCAGCAATACATGGGATGCACAAAACCCAAGTCCTGCAGGAATTCCCTCTTGACCCAGCTGGTGATCAGCTCAGACTCTCGCATGTGTGTGCCAAGTCTGAGGCTGGAGGAAAGTTTTACAGTTCAATTACAAACCCCTGAAATATGGGCTTCCAGTGGAAATGCTGACACAGCCATGATTCTAGTGACACAAATACTCCAGCTGTAAAATATGCATGTTGCTTAGTTTGATGTCATAGTCTACAGCAGGAGAAAAGGTATTTATAAAACCTCTTCAAAGCCTCTACGTATTGCAGATCATTCATTATATTTAAGATTCAAATGTGGACACGTCAGCCAGTGAAGCATAGCTGTCATTTCTCTGTGATAAAATAACTACCTCCTAGATTAAAAACTGCAGAATAAGGGATACAAGTTTATGTATAAATATGGCCACATTGAGTTAAACCACACATCCATCAAGCTCAGTGTCATGTCTCTGACAGTGGTCAGCAGCAGATGCTTGAGGAGAAAAGAACATAAAAAATGGGATGCGTAGTGTCCTTTACCCAAGGAAATTCCTTCCACCGGGCATTTAACTGTATTTAAGACAGGAGGTACCATCAGATTTTTGTGTTTAATAGCCTCCATTACTTTGTCTAAATTTTTTTTTGAACCCGTGTAGATATTTTTGATCTCTGCAACATCCTATGGCAAGGAATTTAATACTTTATTTGTATGTCAAAAGAGCACTCCTCTGTTTTAAGGCTGTTGTCTGACAGTTGTTTTGGATCTCCTTAAATTCTTGTACTGTGAGAAACGGTCAATATCAACAATTTCCTCTTTCCATCCAGCACCACTCAAGATTTGGTATTATTTCTGGTTTTCCAAATGGAATAGTCTATGAAATCTCTTAGCATGGTAGCCATACTACACTGCTGATCATCCTTGTTCTCCTGGGGTTGGTGAGTTTGGTTTTTTAAGCTTTTCTGTAGCAGTTTTGAGAGGTGGTGACCGGAACTCCATGCAATATTCAAGGTAGGAGTCTATCATGGATTTGTGTAATACCATAATGGTACATTCCATTTTTTATCTATTCCCTTAATAAGCCCTAACACCTTGCTTTACATTTGTATATGACCCATCATAATGTTCACATGGCTGCCACTCTCTTTTAACAGCCTTCGATACACATATAAAACCATGCTGTAAGTTTTCAGTGCTGGACTGCCAGCTGGTAGCTATAGATATTAAGGGAATTGTGCAACTTGCAGCTTCATGCTCTGCAAGGGAGAAAATATTAGCTATGAACTCTGGGACCAGCCAAGGACATCACCAAGCAGTCTGTGGGGGATGGACACTGGAAACGACTTCTTTACTGACTCTGTCTTGAGTTCCCTTTAGCTCGCTTGACCAGTTCTATAACCACAAGAACTTGTGGTGCATTTTAATATAGTTCAGTTGCCAGTGATGCTAGGCTAATGTCGGTCCCTGCATTTTAATGAGACACCCACATTTAGCAGCAACTCGGTAAATGACAAGTTTCCAAGTTGCTATCCTGGCCTCTATGATGGAGAATTTCAGAGCTAGTTAGGGCATCAGATAATTTAGGGCATCAAATGATTGGTAGAAAAAATATCCAAAGATAAATTAGTGGGGGAAAAGAAACTTGGATGTCTCTGAACCAACTCTTACCTGCGTATGCGCTGTACACGCGTACCGTCTATAATATCCATAATCACAGGAGGTATCTTCAAGACAGAAACTTGCTTTGTGTCCTTCAGCAACTTTTCTGTGTGAGCTTGCATCCAACAAGTCATAGTGGCTGAATTCATCCATGCTGTGATAATGTCTGTTAAACCACAGATACATTATTAAAGATGGCTCAGATCTTGTCAGTAACATTTTAATCTATTCCTGTTCTGTTAGAGCTGGCCAAATTTTATTTATTACACAGAACCTGAATGTTAGTATGCTTTCCTATTATTTACCATTCAATTAAGTTTTATTTTCATTATTCTAATTTTCAATGACTATAAAAATGCCATCTTCTATAAAAATGCCATCTTCTATAAATAAATAATAGATTTTCATTTATTACAGGAAATACTCCATAGCAGCACTGTTTTCTCCAAAATTTTCTGGTTTAGCTCTTTTCCAATAACAATAGCAAGTATTAAGTAGTTCATATTTGAATTGTACATTTATAACTGCCTTAAGCCAGAGTTTCACTAGGAATGCTTACCTTACATACTATAAATTCCAGGGAAGTTTGCTACTTGCTAGCAAAACCCCAACAATTTATTTTCACATTTCCATGGCCCTCAATCAATGTAACACATACATAACATGAGTGAAAACAAAATCTGCATAGAGAAATCAGCTTCTGTGTACTGGCAATGCAAATCTCTTCCAATGTCAGTGATTTCTGTAATCTATACTTACTGTTGTCTCTATTTCAGAAGTGTGTATGCTTTTGATCTAGGCACAGTGATGCATTTTGCTTGCTCTCACACAAAGTGAGCTCTAGCTCTTGCTGTGGACTTGAACACCTATTATTCTTGTAATTTCACTTCTTCTAAACGCGTGGAAAACTAAACTTGTACTATCTACCTGCACTTTGTCTGTGCAGCATTTGGCTGCTGTTACTTATGAATGTTTTCACCTTGAGAGGTATATGAAAAAGATACAATTAAACAGACTTCAAACCTATTGTTAAAATGAAGACAAGCACACGAGTCTCACAAGCATGCATGACAAGCACAAAACCGGTCCACAGATGATGATGACTAACACTGAAGTCTGATGGCTAGCCAAACTAATTGGCAGTTATACTTCATTTCCAAATGAGCTTGTTTCACTGTCATGGAAATGATCACGAGAAATGCATTTTTTTTGTACGCAATGTATTTTCTGTCCAAGAACTGAATCAACATCAGAGACACTTTGCATCTGGATAGTGATAGCTAGGCTATCGTGGCAGAGTAAGAAACTGCTTTTCTACAAATGGAAGATTTCAACTGCTCTCTACCCATTTCATCCATTTATCAACTTTGTAAGCACCAGGGTTAGGGTTTTCTGTTGATGGTGGTTTTTTTCAGGGGTAGCAGTTAACTAAAGCATTTATGGAGGCTTTTTTTGTTTGGTTTGATTTATTTTTAGCTTTTTGATCCTTACAAGTTTTATAAACCTGTAATTCCAGTCTTTTTTTGAAAGAATTTGTTCTAATGATACTGATTTTTCATTCAAAGCTTAAAGTCTCTGCCGCTAGAGAGAAATACTCCATTGACTCCAGGGGCCTTTAGGTCAAGCCCACAGTACATATTTTTTTTTTAATAGAATAATATTAAGTTATTCACTTACATACCTTACTTCCATCTTACTTAAAATACAATTCTGCTATTATGGGTAAGCTTTCTAGCATTTTACAATTGGTCCTGCTATGAAACAGTGAAAATTGGAACAAACCTGCAAAGTGTTGCATGTGAATTTTCTGAAAGTGTGCCAGTTCACAGTGTTACCTGCTCCCAGAGTGTTGAAAATGTTCTACTACATTTGCCTGCCATGTTTCCAGCAGTTTTGCTATTTCTAGAGCAATACTGCTATGTGAAAGTATCATGATATGATAAGGATATTGATAATGGGATAAGTCAGGTCACTACCTTCTCTTTTCCGTATTGACCAAACCATTCCTTGTCAAGAACTAACCCATGAAATTGAGCTCAAGAAGTATGAGTCAATGTTTACAATGATGTATTATAGGGAACATGCTAGTAAATGTAGATTTTAGGGTTTCCACAGTTATTTTTACATAATTGGGACTTTTATTTACTGGTTCCACCTAAATGTAACTGGACTATAACCTATGTAAAATATACTTAAAGGGAGAAGGTGCCACTGCCAAAACTGATTTGAGACTTGTATTTATAATCAATTTATACTTGTAAGAGTTTTATACTTATAGATAAGCTTCATATCCATTTTGGTTTCATGTGGCTATATAAAGAGTAATCACCACCACCATAAAATTAATCAGACAGTAAAAGGCTAAAGTTTCCCCACGGCTTCTCCCCGCTTCACTGCAGTTTTAGAAAATGTCACCTTGTAAGTGACAATTTGTTAGTGAAAAAGATAATTAGAAGGTACCATACTGAGCACTTCACTCACTGGTGACAGCTGTGCCACTCCCATGAGTAACGGGGTCTGCTGGGCAGAAAATCTGACGTGCCTTGATTTTTCACTCTTTGGGGGAATCTCAGGAGCACCCGATTGTCATAGTCTCTAACATCTGCTCGATAAGCTGAACTGCAATAATGCAAAAAAGAGCCATAAGTATATGCAAGAAACACTTTAAAAAACACTTTATGTTGTCTCAGAAGTAACTGACAGCACAGATCTTTTCAGCCCCCTTAAAGCTCGTGCAGTGGAGACGCACAAGAATTCCACATGGTGTGCTCAGAAGTGCCTGGTGTCAGACCAAGACCTGAGTAAGATTCAGATCTGCTTCTAATAATATAAACAGGAGTTTGACCACCAACTCTGTGCCTCCGTCTCTGAAGCAGATCACCACTTAGCTGTAAAATTACTCTGGTACCAAAAATACAATTTTGTTAGTTGCTGTTAACCAAAATAATTCACTGTGTATGTAAGATCACACAATAGATGTTTGTTTCTGTTGTAAAAAAAAAAAAAAAAAAAGTATGAATCAGGCTATATTTTCCCATTTCACATAGCTATTATCTACAGTCTTTTAAATACTGGAATATTTTAATCAATTGATAGCCAGCAAGAACATTTCAATCAGTCTTCACTGTAAAGTTAGCATAAAAAAATACTGCTTCTTATGCCATGTTTTCTTCCAGCAAGTGAAGAAAGAGCATGACCCTGGAAACAGTCTGACATGAATTAATGATGCTGGTAAATAAATAAATCTGTTTTGTATGATAAGGTATCAAACGAGTTAAAATGGTTAAAAACAGCCACGTTGATTTCTTTCCAAACAAAACAGGAAAAATCCCTCTTTGCCAACTGGACAGGACCTAACTCATAGCAAAGCTGTTATTTCAACCCATTAAAAGACTTTGAAACACTTTTCGGGGAGATTTTAGCCTTAAGAGACATTACAAGGCACAGGCCCAGAAACAATTAGCATGTTGTAATTTTAATAGTAACTTGTGCTGGTTAAGAATAGGTGGGTTTTTTTTAAATGGAGTAGAGTATGATCTGGTTGGATTAGAGGAGGGAGATGGAAATCACCGGATTCAAGTGGGTTTTTTAGGTGCCTCCATTTTGCAAAATTCAGATATGTTCAAATGAGCCTGACAGCAGAAATGTGCAATACAACTTTTCACAAAATGTAGGTTCTTCAAAGCATCTGTCGTTTGTCTCTCTAATATGTTGGTATTGTTCTCTTACGAGCGCACCCTACCATCTGCCACCAGCTTAGAAGAAGGTTACTAAATTTCCTCGGGCTCTCCACCCTCACTTTTCTCCACTCTTCCTCAGGTACTCTGCGGTGGGCGCAGGAGCACAAGAACCCACAGCGAACGGGCAGAAGCCGGGGCGATGCCTACCTCGCCAGGCAGTTCTCTTCGGCAGCACATCTCAAGTTATACATGGACATCCTCTGGACGTATGTGGACGCCTGGATGTAATAGGGATCCGGGACTAAGTCAGGGAGACCTGCAGTTCATCAAACCAACCACGTAAGAGCAAGATCAACCCAGGACACGTCTGCAAGTACTTGGCTTCCATCCCGGTCGCTAGGAGCCGCCGTTCTGCTACGGACCCCCGCCCCCCGTTAAGCTCGCTCTCCCCTTTTCGCTCGGGCCCGTCGGCTTTTCTCCAAGACCGCATCACGAGCACGACGCTCGGACACCCGCCGCGGGCTTCCCTCCCGCCGTGCCCCCGCGCCCCCTCCCCCCCCCCCCCCGCAGCGACTGCCGCCCGCCGGGAGCCGTGCAAACGCCGGCCCGGCCCGGCTTTGCCCCGAGCGAGGGGCGGGCAGGGCCGCCGACCCCCGCACCGCATCTCCTCGCGGCGCGCCGCGCGGGCACCGGCGTGCGCGGGAG